GCCATCATTTAACTTTTTTAATTACTGCCTTATTGGGATCTAGCAGTGTCCTGATCGCAATAATACAAATAAAAAAACCTATACTTTACAGCATTATCCTAGAAATCCTAATAATACATGTCACCTACTGTACATGTTTGATTTATGTTATTGCAGAACAAATGGAATTTCCTTGTGCATAGGAAAGTACAAGAGTGAAATTCATTACATATTATTACATTTCTGGAGTACAGCTTGTTCCCATGAAAGGCAGTATTATATAGCATTAATAGTCTTTTAATTTGTATTAAAGAAATAGAAGTAGGGTCTGTTTGATCAATGGACTTATATCCTACCAATTCAGTTCACGTGCTTGTTATAAAAATAGAAAATCTGCAGTCTACCTTATTATGAGAGCTGATTAATTGAGTGTAAATTGAAACCTTTCACTGCTGTTTGATTAATGATGTCCAATACTGTACTGCAATTAAATAGCCACTTGGATGGTTCATATTCTTATCATCATTGGTCATGGAGAAAATTGACTACGTTATTGGGAAAAAGTCAAGGCCTGTTCGATCCCTAACATAATTTCCATGCTTGAGATTTTTTTTAAATCAATCAGGATAATGAAAGAAATCATCTTTACTATATTACACAGGTTACAATATACTGTTTTACAGAGTCTTTTGTTTCAGTCTCTGTTTCCTTATTTATCTGGTTATTTTCATCTAGAGTTTCTACTTTATTTGTAATTTGAATGAATAAGTTCCCTGCACCAGAATCTAATAAAGTACTGCATAGTGTTTGCCTCGGAAATAACCTTATATAAAATCCTGTAACTCTACTATCTCTTCTTTTCCTCTTATAAAGTTGAGGGGATTGAATCAAACCGCTTTGCTCTGTAAACTAAGGATATCTATGTAATTTTGTTCTATTTGATTGTTTTCCAACTATTTATTTGAGTAAATCTCCAGTATTGTTTGTATTATTCTCTATGGTGGCCAACAAGTGCAAACACGCTTCATCGGCCGTAAACATTTCCGTTGAAAGAAACCATCGCAGCCTAATAACGCAAATGAAGAAACATGTTTACCACTTGACATAACTGCAAAACGCTGCAAATAAAAAACTCAACACACAATGGAAACAGGGATACTAAAATTGGATCACACAGCTGGGACCAAATCGCTTGTTGACGTTTGGGCTTTATAAAGTTGGCCAACTGTCACTGCCGGCACTCTTAGCTGGTTTCATAATATACGTCTATCGTCAGTATATTTGAAATGACTTGGTTAGCTATCATAGCTAGCTAGCTAGCTAGCTTACAGCAGATCTGCAATAATACCTGAAGGAATCATGCGATCACATTGTTAAAATAAGCCAATACAACTTACATTTTAGGTATGTTTCCAGTCACAGCGACAGGTACATTTTATATTCCCAAAACATCTACAAGCACTCCGGTTCCAGCTGTGTGCATCACTTTTTGATGTCCCCATTTCTGTTGTGTTTTGAGCTTCTTGCAGCGACTTTTATTTGCAGCGTAATGTATTTACAGCATTTGGTTTATGCAGCGCTTTCAGTAAACCCTGCGCATGTGTTGTCAAGTTGGTGAAGATGTTTCTTCACTTGCATCTGTTTTGGCACATTTTTGTTTCTGTTCGCATCGTTCTTGAAACTGTAGCGTCTAATGGAGATGTTTTTTACTGTGGTAGCGCGTTTGCACCTGTCAGCCACCCTACTCCTCAGATATAAATCATACAACATGAAGAAGTCCTAGCTTATCCCCATACTAAATGGATTTATGCAATGTGAAATTGTAATACTATAAACTGTATTTCATCTGGGTCTGTCAATTAGGTTTTGATTGGACATTTCCTTTTATGGGCATGTCCATTTTTGTATCGTGTGGCCTTGTTTATTTTTACTGTGTGTGTGTGTGTGTCAGAGAGAGGTGACATTGTCCCTGGCAGAAATATGTTCCAGGTCGGGGCTCAGGTGGCTCTGGTTTGTCTCTGATCAGAGCTGACACACACGATGGAATAGTAACACACTCTCCCTGTCTCTTTCTTGATTTAGCTCAATCTCGCTCTGATTTGTAATCCTCCACGCGCACACACACACACACACACACACACACACACACACACACACACACACACACACACACACACACACACACACACACACACACACACACACACACCACACACACACACACACACACACACACACACACACACACACACACACACACACACACACACACACACACACACACACACACACACACACACACACACACACACACACACACACACACACACACACACACACACACACACACACACACACACACACACACACACACACACACACACACACACACACACACACACACACACACACACACACACACACACACACACACACACACACACACACACACACACACACACACACACACACACACACACACACACAGAGCTGTAAGCCCTATCAATGTTTTTGAACACTGCGGCCGAGCATCCTTTGCTCTCTCACAGTCACACCTGATGCAGAGTGCTGAATAAAGACATCTCACCTCGCTGCTCCTCTTGAGTGTACAGTGTTGCTTTTCACTTGAATAGATCACCTCATGAAAAGGATCCTGCTTGGTATACTGCTTCAAAGCATGCCGAATTTGATACAAGCTGTTGATACACAGCTGAAAGAATGAGGACAAACTGATTGAACTGCTGTGATAAATGGAATCTGGCCGGCTATTTAGAAAATTGTCCGGAATGTTTTTTGTTGGTTTGGAAAATAATTTTCTTAAGAGGGACTGGCCTTGTTATTATAAATCGATAACACTTTCTGCGATCTGGTTTCTAACACTGGGATTTAATTTGTGCAACAATTCAAACCGTCGCATCGTCTTTTGACAGTTAACATTGCCTCTCCTCAGGGTGGAGGATTGCGCAGGTCGTGCTTCGAGCAGCTTTGATCAGACTGCATATATCACAGCACTGACCTAGTATGAATCATTTCACCATGGCTCCATTCTGCTGGATTACTTGTTTTTTACACAAGCAGTTCCAATTTGGCTTTCTTTATAGAGTAATAATGCACCTTTATTGCATCTAAAAGGAGAATTTTTTTTCAATCGATATACAGTACTGTACACTCTTTATACACAATCTCATTTGTTGTCAGCTTAACCCGATGTCGACTAATAGACCTTTGCAGGGTTGTAGCTACCTATGAGGAAACGTATTCACTACAGTACCTCCGTGTTTGAAGATATTTTAACAACCTAAAGAGGAGTTTACATCATGCACGTTTTGGATACTGGTCCTGATACTGTTTTGGACTATTTGAAGACTGCGAATAATGATCTGTTTTAAGATATATTTATGTCTAATATCGATTTTCCACAACGTGTGACCTTATCAAATGTTTTTAAAATGACATCTACTTATTCTCTCTCACCAAGAAATCCAAATTCTACAAATATCCTAATAGAAAATATCTCCTCCTTTAGCAGATACATGTGAACATATAAAGTGTTAAGTGCATATCATTCTGAAGTGATAATAATCCAAAAAGGTTTTTGAAGGAGGGGGACTTTAATCGGACTCCTTTTAGGCAAAAATGGAGGTCCATTTCATCAGAAACATTTGAGAATATTTTCATTTTTTCAGGCTGATGACGTTTGGTTTTGTTGATTTCCCATGCATTTATTTCATGTTATGGTTGAACAGTATTTCTTAAATCCTGCCCATGATAGCAGTGCAACTAATTGGACTTAATCCAAATTAGTCCAGAACCTAATCTATAGAAGAAAGTCTGATAACATTATCTGCCTTTTTTTTTTTACAATGCTTTTGTTTTTTTTGTGTTTTTATGAAGTAAGATCTACTATTTTTTGTACTTCTGTGTTGGTAGGATGTTGTTATCTCTTCACTGACTGACTCCAGTTTCCCCCCTTTATCTCAGCTGCTGAGTTAGTGCAATGGTATTTCCCAATTACATGAGGATAATCACAGGTCATGATGAGGGATGAAATACATATCTTAAAGGAAGGTGGAAAGGCATCTTCCCCGGGCTCGACTTTTCTTGGTGTTTGCCAACTGCTTTCGGCTGGAACAGTTGTGTCTGTGCCTCGCCGTTTGATAACCAAGAAAAATCCTCCTTATGTCAAACTTCCTCCGACTCCCGACTTAAAAAAACACCCCAAATCAAAGAGCATCATGGAGCGAGAAAAAGACTCGCCCCGCACAACCCTCAAAATAGCATAAAGAGAAATATGTATCAAAATATCATATTTTTTCCTCCAATGAACAAGTCCAAAAGAACAAGAAGGGAAGAAGTAGGGGGGGGGGGGATCAAATCACCTCCACAGTGTGTATGCTGCAGGTAGGAGATAAATTAACTGTGAATTCTGTATTGTAGCAAACCCAAACCTTCCAAAGCAGGGCACAAGCGTCCTTGGATGTCCCCAATTCTCTTCCTTGATTTGATGTTATCATCGCCGACTCAGAATGAGGCTAGCCTAATATTTGTGTAGGTCCTTACTCAATAGCAATTTCATCCGTGAGCTGGGGATTGAGGCGCAATAATAATACACCTCATTGTGTACGCTGGTCTCAATGGGTGCTTTGTTGCGCCAGGACAATGCTGTTAGTTGGCCAATGTGTTTTCAAGGGCACAGTGGTGATGATGATGTCCGAGGCGCGCTCTTTTTTTTTTATGAGGATCTTTGGAAAATGCCACGGATGACTTTATAATGAAGGGTGTCTGGGTTCCATTGTTATGATCATCCGAGGTTACACAAGGCTAATGATGTTCATAGGAAAGACAGCTTTTTTTGTCAAACTGCAAATGGACATACACTTACACCAACACATCGGTATGCATCTCATATCCAAAAGTCCCACCTGATGTTTGACGTGTGTGTGTGTTCTCCACTCTATGTGTACACATCCCCCAAAAAGACTTCAAAACAAGAAAAAAGGAAAAACATGCAACAAAAATACCTTCGTCTCGAGGCTTGTTCATTGAAGATTCATCATGTTTTTTTGTGAGCGGACCTAGGGTTAAGAAAAAAAGGGGGGAAAAAGAGAAAAGAGAAAATTCAAAAAAGATTACTGGCAAAAACGGGAAAAAAAAGAATATCAAAAAAAGAAAAGAAGAAAGAGCAAAAAGGACAAATCAGCAAGAGTTCATGGTTGCTTATTGTTTTTTTTCTGTTTTTTCCTTTTAAAAAGAGTACAAAAGCAAAAACAAAAGGCATCACAGACACAGTTTTATCACAAGAAAAGACACAAGATCAAAGAAAGCTGTTTTTCTTTCTCGACCCCTGCAGAAGAAAATGGCTGCCTCTGTTTAGGTCCCTCTTTGTCTCTCTTATTTAACCTTGTTTGTTCCCTGAACCTTTTTTCCAGTTGTGGGGTTGGGAAAAAGGGGAATGTGGAGTACTAAGGCCTTTGTGGATTGAAGAACAGGACCCTGCCTTTTTTTCTCCCAACACATGACCAGAAAAACTGATTTTTGAAAAATGAACAGGCAAAGAAGCGGACACCTAAAGGAAGAACGGTGGGTCCTGATGCTCAAACCCCAAAATCTTAAATGCAGCAAAAACACAGAACACTTTAAAGGGCATTTAAACAACATTAATCATTTTGTACACAACACAGACACTTTTATTGACCCTGTAACGGTAAAAGACATGTTAAACACAATTCAAGATAAGTAGGGCACAGGTGCTTTTTGTTTTGAAGTGTGTGTGTGTGTCTTTGTCATTTTCCCCAGGCAGGTAAATAATTACATAGCACAACAGCAGTGTGTCAATTTGAAATGACAAGTAAGCGTGACGCTAATTGCGCAGAGGAGTGCAGGTAAAAGGTGAATATAATTTGATCCACATCTTCCCACTGGCTGCTTTTCTTTTTGGTAAATTAAAAGAGTGGGATGGAGAAAGAGGGGAAGAAGGAGAGAAAAAGCACAGAGAAGGGAAAGCAAGAGAAAAATAATCCTGTTTTTCTCTCTCATCCATCTCTTTTCTTGTATTTGTTGATGACGACTCGCGTTACATTCAAGGAACCTGACTCTCACACTTCTCATGGGTTCATTATCAGGTAGTGAGGTTCTTAAGGAAAAAATACACCGTTGGCAGATGTCACAGTAAACCTTCTTCACCTCAGGAGCAATAAAAAGGTGAAAAGTATTTTCGGTAAAAGTACTTTTCACCTTTTTATTGCTTTCACCCACTTTGGGAAGTTTGGCACAGAATGTTATTCAGTTAAATCTGTGAAAATAAACACTTGTGTAACCCAACACTAAGTGACATTTTGGAACAGGTTACCACCTCGAAAGGGTGTTGCAAGGTGAATTACATCCATTTCAAGACTTTGAATTTAATTTTTTGTGTTGGAAATGCTACATCCTTGAGAAAAAAATGACAACAAAATGTTAGAGTAACTCAGAGAATACACAATCAGGATACAATTTAAGACATGAAGAAAACAACCCAGGTTTAAAGTTCTGGAAAAAAGCTAGAAAGCGACCATGAGGAAGGATTTGGTGTTTTAGATTAGGAATCATGAAAAGCAGGAACTTCCTTCAAGTGTTTGACAATTTTCCGCAGAACCACCCTCTCCACTTATCAGATGAATAAGTGACTTTATGGGTTAACCAAATGCCTTGAGTAGAAAATGTATTATAACACATTGGCGAGGTTTTCCAATCCAGGATGCTTAACATTCTTGCCAAAATGGAGGAGGTTTTGGTAGCTGGTAGGCATACGGAACAACACTTTGTGTTAGCATGCTAATTAGCATGGAACACAAAAAACGGCTGCGACAGATGGATATGTAATTGTTGTCAACCTGCTGGTGGCCCTATAGCAAAGTCATAGTCAGGGAACAATGAATGTTTGTTTGGGACTTTTTGAGTAAATGTGGAAATTGCATCAAATAAATGATACAATTGACATGATTGTGGCACTGGTGAAAAAATGGGCGGAAACATCAACGTCATGAGGCGTTTTCCGTAGACCATGAATGTCTGTCTGTACCTCATTTCACAGCATCAGATATATCAAATGTTTCAGTCTGTGGTAAAGTATTTGACGGATGACAGAGCGACATTGCAACCAACATTTAACAAAGAAATGGCTTAGGATGGCATTTTGATAGAAAGCGTTTAAACAGAAAAGTAAAGTGTAAGACTTAAAGGTTGAGGTTTACAATATCTAGCAGTGGAAGCTGAAACAAAGTACAGTGGGGCAAAAAAGTATTTAGTCAGCCACCAATTGTGCAAGTTCTCCCACTTAAAAAGATGAGAGGCCTGTAATTTTCATCCTAGGTACACTTCAACTATGAGAGACAGAATGAGGGGAAAGAATCCAGGAAATCACATTGTAGGATTTTTAATGAATTAATTGTTAAATTCCTCGGTAAAATAAGTATTTGGTCATCTACAAACAAACAAGATTTCTGTCTCTCACAGACCTGTAACTTCTTCTTTAAGAGCCTCCTCTGTCCTCCACTCGTTAACTGTATTAATGGCACCTGTTTGAACTCGTTATCAGTATAAAAGACACCTGTCCACAACCTCAAACAGTCACACTCCAAACTCCACTATGGCCAAGACCAAAGAGCTGTCAAAGGACACCAGAAACAAAATTGTAGACCTGCACCAGGCTGAGAAGACTGAATCTGCAATAGGTAAGCAGCTTGGTGTGAAGAAATCAACTGTGGGAGCAATTATTAGAAAATGGAAGACATACAAGACCACTGATAATCTCCCTCGATCTGGGGCTCCACGCAAGATCTCACACCGTGGGGTCAAAATGATCACAAGAACGGTGAGCAAAAATCCCAGAACCACACGGGGGGACCTAGTCAATGACCTGCAGAGAGCTGGGACCAAAGTAACAAAGGCTACCATCAGTAACACACTACGCCGCCAGGGACTCAAATCCTGCAGTGCCAGACGTGTCCCCCTGCTTAAGCCAGTACATGTCCGGGCCCGTCTGAAGTTTGCTAGAGAGCATTTAGATGATCCAGAAGAGGATTGGGAGAATGTCATATGGTCAGATGAAACCAAAATAGAACTTTTTGGTAAAAACTCAACTAGACGTGTTTGGAGGAGAAAGAATGCTGAGTTGCATCCAAAGAACACCATACCTACTGTGAAACATGGGGGTGGAAACATCATGCTTTGGGGCTGTTTTTCTGCAAAGGGACCAGGACGACTGATCCGTGTAAAGGAAAGAATGAATGGGGCCATGTATCGTGAGATTTTGAGTGACAACCTCCTTCCATCAGCAAGGGCATTGAAGATGAAACGTGGCTGGGTCTTTCAGCATGACAATGATCCCAAACACACCGCCCGGGCAACGAAGGAGTGGCTTCGGAAGAAGCATTTCAAGGTCCTGGAGTGGCCTAGCCAGTCTCCAGATCTCAACCCCATAGAAAATCTTTGGAGGGAGTTGAAAGTCCGTGTTGCCCAGCGACAGCCCCAAAACATCACTGCTCTAGAGGAGATCTGCATGGAGGAATGGGCCACAATACCAGCAACAGTGTGTGAAAACCTTGTGAAGACTTACAGAAAACGTTTGACCTCTGTCATTGCCAACAAAGGGTATTTAACAAAGTATTGAGATTAACTTTTGTTATTGACCAAATACTTGTGATTTTCTTGTTGAGGTATACCTAGGAATACAGGCCTCTCATCTTTTTAAGTGGGAGAACTTGCACAATTGGTGGCTGACTAAATACTTTGTTGCCCCACTGTATATATATTGTGAATTATTATCACCTGAAAGCAAACATTGAAAATCTTCGAGGCTAAAGATTGAGACATGTATGGTATTTTTCAGTATTTCTTTTACATTTTACAGATATTTGTTCAGTCATTTATGCATTTACCACCTTACAGTATAATTAATCAGGGAAAACGTTGAATAACTCTTGACCTTGCAAAGAGGAGATGTTAAGCTCAAGGTCCACCTTCAAAACTTCTTGACCTAAGTTTTTCATTGACATATCTACACTGTAGCTAATGTACAAATGACAATAAAGCCTTGAATCTTCTAGCTCTCTACAGATTGTTCAGTGTATAACTATAGGGACATGTTATTGACTGAGGTCCAAACTTTTTACTTACAAGTTTCTCAAGTGATAAAAAGGTCTAAATAGCAACTTTCCCATCAAAGAAACAAGAAATCACAACACTTTTTTTCGGTGGGGGAAAATTGGGAAAAGCAGAAATCAAGCCCCCATTATGAGCCGGGCACCACGCTGAGAAAAAGCGTAAAAACTGAGCTTGATTGACGTATTTTTTCCGCAATGAGTGGAGTAGAAGCCTAGCGGTGTAAATCAAGCAGAGCGAGAAAAAAATAGCTGCTTTTTCTGGATATTTCCAATCAAGGGGGGCACGAAGACAAGAAAGTGTGCAATTGACCCCCCTCCACACACACACACACATCTGTAAATGATGACAAATAACAGCAAATACAGTTATAATACACACAGAGTAGACATTTCGGTACAAAAAGAGGAATAAAGCACCATATATTGTTGTTTTTAGCACCATATTTAGACTGACGCATATCATGTTCCATATGTTGTTACTAAACATGCATGCTGCTTAAGAGTTTGTTTGTAGCCTTTATTTAACCAGGTGAAAATCCCATTGAGATCAACGATCTCTTTTTCAAGCGAGACCTGCGAGAGTATCTTCCACCTTAAGTTGCTTACACCCTCTCTCCTCTACACACTCATTCTGTTATCCCCCTCTCTCTTTGCCACTTTGAAGCGGGTTATATAAGGCTTCACTTCGGCTCCTCTTCTCCCAACGCCCACACACACATCCTCGTCCAGTGCACATTCATGCAAAACAGTCATACAACACTGAATGAAATGCAACAGGGGGGAAGACATATATACACAAAGGGTCAGCAGAAAGAAATAATACGATACAGAGACTAAAGAGATCGATATTTGTGGTATGATGTGTGACTGCAGCTATTGAACCGTCAGCTGTGTCTGATCATCAAGGGCTAGACAGACAGGGTTTATATATA